CTGCACGGGGCTACTGCCGTTTGTCTGAGGAGCCGGCAGCTGAGGGAGGAAGGCACTGAGCTCTCAGGGAGTCTGGCACGGGTTCCAGGCCATCACTGCTTTTTCTGGGCACCCTGGCTGCCCAGGGCTTTTGCAGTGTGGTTGGGACGTACGAGGGTGAGGTGACAGAGTTGTGACCCAGTTCTGCCCTCAAGCTCAGTGGGACTAGAACCTCACCCGTGGCGACTTCCCAGTCCCGAGGTGCAGTGGCTACACCCCCAGCTTGCAGGGTTGTCTTACAGGCTCCCCGATCCTGGAGGAAGGATCTGCTGGACGTCACAACTACCAAGGCCACACCGGGGCTGGCCGTCAGCACCACGGCCAGGGACACGAGGCGCAGGACCCAGCCCCTCACTCCCGACTCACCGCCCTCTGGTGAATGGAAAGCGGGGCCTGAGGAATCACAGTGACCATCAGAAGCTCAGGGGGCCATTTAATCACAGGCCTATGCTGGCTCTTGGAACACAGGGCTAGTGATCTGGAAAACGTGTTTTTCTCCCGACCAATAAGCAGAAAACACACAAATGGGTTCCCTCATCTGCCAAGGGTGCAGCAGTCCCTTCCCGTCCCGCTCCGGGCCTTCTTCGGCCAGCCCTGTGCCTCAGTTTACACTGAGGGGCACTGGGCTCCAGGGAGTTGTGCCGCTGGGCAGCCCACCACGAGCAGGTGTTGTCTGATCCATGGAGTCTGGAAGTAAAGGCGGGCAACACCACCTACTTCCCTGGAGAGAGGAAGGGACAGCTGGGGCCCCTGCCTGATGCAGCAGAGGTGAGGCCTCTGTCAGGGGTCAAAGGTGACAGGAAGTGCATCCAGCACACTGCGGTTCAGAAGCCCCATCCGGCTCTCCCTGTGAGATCCCACTCTGCACTACTGTGTGAGCTCAAGAGGCGCTTACAGCCCCGGGCTCTGGCAGCCACAGACTCTGGCTGAGACGTGAGGGCTGTGCCCTGGGGCTAAACACAGAGCTTCATAAGTCAGGCTGGAGAGGAGGAGCAGGGGCAGGTAGGTGGGGGCAGGAGGCCTAGGCTGAACCCCAGACAGTGGGGAGGAAGAGAGGCTGCTGGTGGCCATTGCTTTTCCTGGAGGGCTGGGTGGGGCTGGGGGCTGGGGCCCTCCATCCACCCTCCACCCAAGCCCACTCAGGAACAGAAGCTCAGGTGGCCCTGCCAGCACGGGGACATTCCCATGACGTGGTCCTGACATGCAGAGGACCGCCCTCACCCACCTCACACCCCAGACCCAGTGGGACCCACAGGACTAACTATGAGAAGTCATCGAGGTGGCCCAGGAGGGCCTGCCTCCCCAGGGTCATCAGGGCCACCTCTGGGGCAGGGTCAACTGCCCAGCACCACCTGTGGGCAGAGGGAGACCCCGCCCAAGACCTCCTCCAGTGGCCTCCTCCCCCATCCTCCCTGGTTCCCACCTAACCTCCTCTCCTCTCCTCTGCCCCTCCAGCGGGGCCACTGTGGAAGACACTGTAAGTTCTGCCTACACGACTGCCAGGAGTCCGAGTGGGACGTCCCCGCAACGTGGTCCTGATGTGCAGAGGCTGCCAGGGGCCCTGTGCCACCCCCAAGGCTGGGGTCCATGCCATAGCCCAGTAGGGGTTCCTGCCTGCCCTGGGCTGCACCTCTCTGGCTTCTCCCTCCATGCACCCTCACCTGCCGCTGTGGCCAGTGCCTGCCGCTCACCCACCCACACACAGATCCCACCCTGAGCTCAGCCATCAGCTTCCTGCCTTCCAGGGACTGCAGGGTCCCAGGCCTCTGGTTCCCAGGCCTCTGCTGGGTGGTGGGTTGTGGGGGCCGGTCAGCCAAAGACACTACCCTGCAGATGAGAAGCCAAACACGGACCCTGACAGAAGGCAGGCCCCGCGGGCGCAGTCTCCACAGGAACACACAGCAGTGGTGCAGACCCTGCCTTCTCCTGTTCCTGCAGAAAGCAGCGTCCGCTGCTTCCTCCGCTTCCTGTTTTTCTGATTAGGATGTAAAGAGTTTCTTCACTGTCATACAGCTGCAAAGTATGCCCGCATCGTTATTTTTAGTCTCTTAATATTGTGAAATTGTTACATCGTTTCTAACATTTTAACAATCTCAGTGTGAAGGAGATTAATTCTAAAGGGATAAAATAAATGATAGCAACAATGTGTTCCTTGCTCTTGCATTTTTCCAAGAGGGGGACCCAGTACATCCACCGGGGGAAGTTAAAGTCAAGCCTTGAATCCCTCCACCAGGCCAAGGGCACCAAGCTAGGGTTGCGGACAGGAGGCCCTTCATGGAGAAGGGTCTCTGGAGAGGATGGTGCCCAGGCCCTGCTCAAGAAATCGAAGACAGACAGCGGCAGGAGGCAGCGGGGTGGGAGCTTGGAGGACTGTCTGAAGCTGTGTTGAGCGGAGCCAGACGGAGGTCAGTCACTCTCACAAGTGAGGGACAAGAGGGACCCCTTTGGAAGAGCGGGGGAAGGGAGACTCTCCAGGGTTACACTGGTGGGGCTGAGGGTGTCTAAGGACTAGGAAATTGAGCATGGAGGGTTCCGGGTGTGGAGAATCGCAGAGGGGAGCTGGGAGGCCAGGGAGGGTACCCAAGTGAACCACATGTGAACGAGTTGATGAAGGAGCTTCTGGAACCAGGGTGTGTTTCCCTCATGGGTTCTAGGGGTGCATGGGAACTGCAGGACTCATGGGAGCTCCTTCCTCTGGCCCACCCACCCACAGCTACCTCTGAGTGCTAGATTCCAGGAAAGAAAAAAGGCTTGTGCCTCAGTGTGCATGGTGGGCAGCCTGCCCAGCCTAGCACTGTAGGGTCATCAGATTCAGAGAGTGCCAGGCGCAGTGGCTCATGCCTATAATCCCAACGCTCTGGAAGGCCAAGGCGGGTGGATCACCTGAGATTGGGTGCTCAAGACCAGCCTAGCCAACATGGGGAAACCCTGTCTCTACTAAAAATACAAAAATTAGCTGGGCATGGTGGCGCAAACCTGTAATCCCAGCTACTCAGGAGGCTGAAGCAGGAGAATCGCTTGAACCCAGGAGGCGGAGGTTACAGGGAGCAAAGACTGCATCACTGCAATCCAGCCTGAGTGACAGAGCAAGACTCTGTCTCAACAAAAACGAAAAGAGAGAAGCAGAGTAACCCCAGGAGAGGCCCCTCACTGCCCACCCAGGGGAGGAAGGTCTGGACTCTGCTCTGAAAAACAAGCCCCTCCCTCTGCCAGACTCAGTTTCAGTGAGACAGGAGAGGGTTGGCTACAGAGAGGGCGAGAAGGAGCCCAGGGCAGGGAAAGCAGTAGCAAGGGCCAGCACGTCTGCAGCCCACATCCGCCCCAAAAGGTCCTGCGCTGCTGGTATGGACGCCGGACACTTGCCCCTCAGTCGGAAACATTTCCCACCCTTCCTTATAGAAAAACTCTGCTCACTCAGGCCCAGCCACAAGGGCCTCCTCCCTTGAGATGCCTCCCTGATTCCAACCCCAATCACCGGCCAGCTGCCTGCTGGAGACGGCGGTGCACAGCCCTGGATCTGACTCCAGCTGGTGTCAACATGGGGAAGGGCGTACAGGATAGGAGCCCAGGCCCAGGACGGGGCCACACAGCCCCCTAGGACAGCAGAGCCCATGGCCCCACCTGGGCATGATGCCAGCACGGACCCTGCCCACTGAGCCCCACCCCCTCCATGTCACCCAGGCAGGAGGGAGTGTGGATGGCTGGGCATCCCCTGTCCACAACCAGCACCAAGGTCTGAGCCCAAGGCTGCTGCTGCCAGAAAGAGACATGTGACTCACACAGGCCCCACCTGGGAGGAGGCCCAGAGAGCAGCTGTGTCAGAAGGGCCAGCCCCAAGAGCCAGCCCCGCCCAGCCGCAGAGCAGGCAAGTCCAGGCCCCATGGCACAGGGGTCTGCGGGCCGGGAGCTGGGGTGACCGGGCTGCCCTTAAATGGCACCTTGGGGCGTGGGCATGGCTCAGGGAGGACGCCCGGGCCTGGAAAGGTGGTTGAGCCCAAGGGCGCAGGTACAGGCTCTAAAATGGCCCATGGCAGCTGCCCTGAGGACCACCAGCCCTTAGCCCTGGCTCTGGGGGAACACCGCTCTGCCCTGAAGCTCTCAGGGGTCACATCTTCACCCTCGAGTGTCTGAGAGGTCACGACCCTGTCCTGGAGGCTTGAGGGAGGCGGTGCCTGGGAGGGAGGAGAGGTAGGTTCCACATGCAGAGCCTGCCACGCCCACCTGTTGGCTGGGGGCAGTGCTGGGGGACCAGGTGTCTGCCATTTGTGGGTCCTCCTTCACAGCCGCGCCCCATCCCAAGTGGCAGCTCCTGTAGGGCTGGATCAGACCCAGCACCCTTTCCCGGGCGGGACAGAGGGAACAGCCTCTCAGCGGCGAGCACTAAATTTAACTCAATCTGAGAATCAAATGTGCTCTGATTGTCCTTCAGTGATTCCGCAATAAGCCCTGGCCTGGGCTGGGCAGTCTGCACCTGGGCTGAAGAGGAGCTGGGCGCAGAGGGAGGCAACGTGCAAGGGCCTGGGCCCCTGGAGAGGGGAGGCGGCAGGTGGAGACTCCCTGCTCCCTAACAGAGTCCTGAGAACCCCAGTAGCGCCCTTCCTAGGAGCAGCTCCTGCAGCGCTAGATCCAACGGCCTGTAGTGGGAGCCGGGGCGGGGCGCAGGGAGGCGGGGCGTGTGGGAGGCGGGGCG